CTACAATGTAAAAGTGAACTGTTGGGGTGAAGGAGTTCAGACCCTGTTCCTCCAGAGGAGGCTAACAAAAAAGGTTCTGATTGGGTGTCTTCAGACAAAAAAAAAAAAAATGTCAAGGAGTGCATTGAATTGATATAATGTGGGGGCTTCAGTAGCCTAGTAGTTATTCGTGCCGTGCACCCATGATCAGATGCTGTGGACCTATAAGAGGGCGGCCCGGGATTAAATCCGACCTGTGGCTCCTTTCCCGCATGTCATTCCCTTACTTTCTCTCTATCCTCGATTTCTGACTCTATCCACTGTCCTATCTGTGAATTAAGGCATTAAAAGCCCAAAAATAAATCTTTAAAGAAAAAAAAAAAAGTCTTTCACTTGGGACTCTATCCCAAAGTCCTGCATGGGTCCTATTTTACTGACCCGCATCCCCTCTCCCCTGTAAGTATCAGTATGACACCCGATTATTGTCCCCATGTCAAATCCAGACTGTAAATATTAGACCCACGACCTATCCCTACCCACGTGATTAAACACTGGCTACACAGTTACCCACTTTATATTGCTTAGTTTTTTAGTTGCAACACCGCGGACAGTAGGCTCCTGAACATTCACAGATTGCAGTAGACTAACAGATTGCAATGTACCATTAGGCTGCATTGTTATCTGTGTCACCGTTGTTTCATGTTTAGAAGCTTTAGGGTGCAGAAAGTCATATAACCCAAGTTGTGTCTCAGGCTGGCAAAAAAAATAAAATCCATTTTACACCAATAAGTTGTCGCTATTGCGCCAAATCCCCACATATAACTGTCCAATGTCAGTCCACATGGGTCTTTGGCTTCTCACAACACCGCTCCTCTGCTTGTCAACAGATGCACATTGTCTGTAAAGGGGGAGAAGTGGGGGAGGCATAACAGCACTGTGTTTACAGCAGTGCAGATGCACTCAGAGACCTTCAGTAGGTGCCAAATCGCACCAAACTGAATTCCTACATGTTGTTGCCTTTAAGTCCAGTGCATCTAATGCAGATGCTAAAAGAAAACACATGCACATGTATGAGATGCTGAGGACCAACAATGCATCTGTATTTGAGTTTTTGAGGGTCAGGCTGATTCCTCTGCTATAAGTGGCGAAGCGATCATCATCAGTGATCATCATCCCTTAAATCAAAAAGTTCTTAAAGTCTGTTTACATAGTTTATACCCTCCGGAGTTGTGGGATGTTGACATAAAGCTAAAACTGAGTTCATTTAGGCAAATATAAGAGAGGAGTCATTTACCTTACAGTGTACAGTACTTTGATACACACAAACAGTGCATGGTGTTATACAGCTCATATGCCACAATTCCTTTCACCATTGTGGACTCTCCATTTCTCTTTTTTTTCCTCACCCACTCTTCGTCAAGATCAAAGTCATTGCATTGGGAAAAAAAAAAGCATTTTAAAGGCAGCTCTTTTCAATGTTTGGCTATGTGATGTGGGTTTATATCTAAGTCATTTACAGTCTTCCTTTTTGAACAATAATATCATAATGATTTTCTTATTCTTTGTTCACTGCTGCATACTGTGCAGTCCAGGCCAACTGTAGACTTTCAGTAGATGTCGCTTCCATTTTTCATCAAAATTTGTGACCTAATTACATCCAGCTCATGAATAGCAGCTGTTTTGTTTTTGCCAAAAGGCTTGGACATTAAAAGGTCGCTGTGAAAACAAACAAAAAAAAACAAGCAGAAACAGTTCAAGCTAGAGCAGTGATGCTGATGAGAGAGAGCATGCCTTCAGACTGAAGACTGACAGAACAACTGACCAATCCTGTGTAAAGGGAGGCAGCACTCTGAGCAAATCCTCTCCACCCTGCCGCACACTCTGATGTGTGTCCTATGGAGTGTTGAGGAGAACAGGAGGGAGGGGGAGGGCTGCAGCTCGGAGCTTAAGAGCCGGGGTGGGAATAGAGGCGAGTAGACAAAGACTGCAGCAGCCTGCAGCATCACCATCCAGCTCTCCATCACACAGGGAGTGATCACCAGGACCTAGTCCCATTAAACAGGAGAGGTCTGGCTCGTCTGCCTGTCTGCATCCTCCTCTTCTTTATCAGCTGAGAGAACACTTACTGTGGAGCCATGCCTGAGTGCTGGGACGGGGTGAGTGTGTGATTAAAGGATATATAGTATACTCCAGTGTGAGTCCACATATTTGGATTTTTTGTCAACTACCCCAGATCACCTTTTTTTTTTTTTTTATGCAGACTGTCAGATAATGATTTTGGAGCTGCTTGTATTTGCCTCTCAATGTTAAATTTTGTATATTTCTGTGCAATAAGAAACATATACGTATGTATATATACACATATGTTATTTAAAACCTTAATTGTTAGTAACAGTCAACAAAGGTAGCTGTGCTGCAAAGATTGTATAGACTGGTTTGTCTTCATCCTCAGTACTGAGGAGGAAAAACTGCAGCGTCAGTGTCATATGATGGGTCATTCTTTGACTCTGGCCCACTGACACACTTAAACTCGCCAACAATGATGCAGTGCAATGCACAGATGCACACACCTCTACAGATCAACACATTAATATGCTGTGCGTGTGTGTGTGTGTGTGTGCGTGTTTGTGTGCACGGGACGTGTTTATCCTTCTGCAGTATCATCCATTTTGGCAACCTTGAAATGGATGAGGTGTGTGTGTGTGAAGAGGCTAAAAGAAGACTGTGAGATCACATGTCTTTTGTTAAAATCTGGATTTGTGATTTTGTCTCATGAAAATTCTCATGTTTACCAGTATCTGGTCACTGAGAGCAGACTGTGAACAAAGCCGCTGATGCAGTAACTGCCTCAAATTAGAAAGCTGATCACAGATAACATGGTGGTTGTTGCTGAAGTAATAGAGAGATAATCTGGATGGATTAACTGCTGGTTGCCTGATTTCGTGCTGCTGAGGAGGGATTATGCTGAATTTTGGCAGCTACAGTGTTTGAATCCACAAGTGCAGTTAGTTTGTTCCTGTTTTTGAATGACTGTTTCACATGCACTGCAGAGGGATGCAGGGTGATGGACAGGTTCATTGAGAATTTGAGATGACTCAACGTGTGACGACAAGCTCACAGGAGGACAGTCATGATGCAGCGTCAGTGTGTTTGTTTAGTTTGAATTTGAGTAAATAAAAAAGTGTGTCAGTATAATCAATAAAGGCTTCAGTCCAGTTCACTGCAGAAAAACAAACATATCACAAAACAACACTCCGCTCTGTGCGTGTGTGTGTGTGTGTGTGTGTGTGTGTGTGTGTGTGTGTGTGTGTGTGTGTGTTGTGTGTGTGTGTGTGTGTGTGTGTGTGCGTGAGCGTGTGTGTGTGCGAGAGTGTGTGAGTGAGTGTGTGCGTGTGTGTGTGTGTGTGTGTGTGTGCGTGTGCGTGTGTCTGTGTGTGTGTCTGTGTGTGTGCGTGTGTGCGTGTGTGTGTGTGTGTGTGTGTGTGTGTGTGTACTGCACAGGTAATGGTATCACAAATCTAGTACCTCCATTTTGAGTTTGGCTCTGACCAGCGCATGCTGACAAAATGTGGGTCATATCAACAGTCTGTTGATGCAAAACAAGCCAGATGTTTGGGGCCTGTGTCAGTATGCAGGACAGAAGCTGTCAAATCAAAAAATGAATTAATATGCCAATAAATTAAGTAAAACATTTTCATACAAACGATTAAAGTTTATTTATTTACTAATCACTTTCAATTGATCGGCAATTTATGATCAAGTTTTTTTTTTACATATTTGGCATCTTCTCTAGTAAAGTAAAGATCTTTACTTTTATCATTTTCAAAGACTTCCCAAGTGATTTGAAAAACCGGTAAAACAATGAACATTACAATATTTGAAGACTGCAGCTTTGAATAGAAGATTTTGATCTTTAATTTTTTTCTACTATTAAAACATCTTAATAGATTATTTTCACTTCTGTCTGTTATGTTCTCAGGTAGAACACATTGTGATTAAATGTGAGTCAATTTAGTTAATACATCAGTGACACTACCTGACTTATGTCGGATTCACTCTAAAGAGTATAATGGTGTTAATATGTTATGCAGATTAAATGTCACTGTTTAACTTTAATTGAAATGTCATTCTAGGTTTGACGTTATGTTGGTCCCTATCCAGTTTCGAATCATTCCTCTCACACTGTACCTCACATCTTGATATACGCACTCTCTGTTCCCATTTTATTCTTTCATTTAAATTAAGATTCTGCATTTTCTGTCAGAAGCAATTCAGTGACATATTTCCAATATCTTCTGTTTCTGAATACACTGTCTCAGGCGGGACATTTATTTTATTTTATAAAACCTTTATTTTTACATGTTGGCTTGGTTTTGTTTTGGAAGTTACAAGGAGAAACATTACTGATTTAATAACGTCATCATTTGAAGGGACTTTAAATGAACATGCAGACATCCAAAGAGCTTTAGTCTTTTGTGATCCACTATGTGCTCCTACAGCCCATTAATGGTCTAATACATGAACTAAACCTGTCTTCTCTTTGAGCAGATCTTTTCTTCTATGCAAGATCGATGGATCTGAATCCTTTAAACCACTTTCTGCTCAATTATGGGAGAGCGTGACATGTTAAGTCCTTGTCCAATAATAACCTGTCAGGACTGACAGTGCTCATAGCTCACTGTAATTACAGGCCTTTCTGCAGACCTCATTAAGCCCCGGCTCCTTACCCCCATACTGCCCATACTGAACAGTTCTGCATAGATTGCCTGTAAATGGTGCAGGAGCTGTGACTGCAGCTCAATAAAAAACAGGTTCAATTATGACTGCGCCGTGTTTAAACATACTGATGTGCCGTGCCTCGCAAAGTGAAACACTTGAGGTTATGGATCAGTGAGATGTATTTCTTCACCTCTTTCTTCCATCTGTTTACCCACGGTGGATTCAGGTGTAAATGTTCCTTCACAAACATTTGACAGTGTGAACCAGCAGGTGAGTGAGAGTGTGTTTGTGTGTTTTCACAGGAACATGATGTTGAGACTCCTTACGGGATGCTGCATGTGGTGATCCGCGGGGCACCCAAAGGAAACAAGCCCGCTATTCTCACCTACCACGATGTGGGACTGAACCGTGAGTATTCAAAAAAAAATTAAAAAACATGTGTGCGTACTTATCAAAGGTGATAATTGGCCTGTATATCACTAAGTTCTTCCTGCCTTTAATAAACAAACCTCCACTTTTGAATTTCAGAGCTCCATATCGCCTGGTTATGAAAACAAAGATTACTTCATGTGTCAGAAACTGCTTATTAAAGTCTGTTTTAAACTCAAATAAATTACTGGATGAAAAATGATTACCAGTGGGCGGCTGTGGTTCAGTTGGTAGAGACGGTCGTCCCTCAACCTGAAGGTTGGGGGTTCGATCACCAGCTTCTGCAGCTACATGTCCAATGTTTACTTGGGCAAGACACTTAACCCCTAATTGCTCTGTTGCTTTGTCGTCATGAGTGTGTATGAATGGGATTAGTTACTTCTGATGGTCACTTAACTTAGCAGCCTCTGCTATCAGTGTGTGAATGGATGTGAATGGGTAGGTGTGACCTGCGGTGTAAAAGCGCTTTGAGTCAGATGATTAAATAAGTGCTATACAAGCTCAAATCCATTTATAGTATATAAAATCAGGTTGCCAATATTAGCAAATGGCAATTGAGATTGCTAAAATGAAGTCATAACCTTCTTATAACATTTTTTCCTCATGCTTTGTCATTATGATGAATTTCTCATGCATCATAACGAGACTTCTTGGGATACAAAGATCATTTTCAGCCTTATCAGAGTCTCTATCAGGTATATGGACTGTCAGAGTGTTGACCTTTATCATGTTCTAATGGCATTCTACAAAGTCACAGCACCCTCTTTGCGCCAGCTCTCAATACAAGCTGAGTGATCAATAATTGAATACAGTCAGTATACAGTAATGATAGACACCTGTGAATATGTGAGGAAGAATACAGTATGTGGAGTGAGCGGAGATGAAAACAGAATAAAAACTGTGAGAGGGAAAGAATGCTCTGAGCCAGACTTTGTCCTCGTGTGATCAGAGTCGACAAAAATAGAATTATGAAAAGATGAGGAGGCAAATGATGGGTGAGTGTGCGAGGCATCGATGAAATGTAGGTCAGAAAAACATCCTCCATCCTGCGGAGGGAGGTGGGGCGGGGCTGGCAGCACTGCGGCGCTGCGTGATGGGTGGAGGTGGGAAAGGGTTGGTGGGGGTTCGCAGGATAGCGTGTCAAGGACCAAAGATGATCCGTGCAGCTCTGCAAACTGCAGATATCTGGATTTTGTTGTCTGTCCTACTGCCCTTTTTTTAAAATTAAAATTATGTCACTAAGCTGATTTCCCTTTCCTCATAGGGAAATAGAAAAAGAAAAAATGCACATGAGGCAAACCAAATGTGCAAAAACAAGGTAGGAAAATGAAAAGTGCAAAGAAAGACAAGAAAGGAAACAAGATGGCAGTAATAAATCATGTAGAATATGATAGACCAAGGATACAACAGACATGAGCCTGCATTTTGCTGCTGCAGCAGAATCACAAGTCTATTAGTATTCATAGTCAGTTAGTAAATAGCTGGGCTGTGGCGCACCATCATTCAGGTTGGAGCAGAAAGCAAAGGATGAAAGGAGTCAAATTGGAAAAAGGGAAATTGTCAGGGAGTTTTTAGTTTCTATTCATAACAACTCCAGTGACTTGATGTAAGCACAGAACAAAGAGAGAGAGAAAAATGATAATTAGAAAAGACAATATGTGGAAGAAATGAAAACAGATAAACAGACAGTCAGAATGATTAAAGCACAGAGATGAAGAATCAGGAAATTCAGAAAAAGAAAGGGTAAGAGAGAGAGGCTTAAACGGAGACATAAAGAAAGTAACAGCGGGAGAAAGTAGGTCACAAAGTCAGTGGGAGTGCAGTCTGCGAGGGCCGTCCGATGATTCAGCATGTACCTCTGTCCTCACGTAGCATCTCTATTTACATAAACAGTTCCCAAACTGGCACCCTGCTGCACCGTGGTAGAGCGTCCACAGTCACCTCTCCTGACTCCCCTTACTTTTTTTTATCTCCAACCCAGTTGTCGTGCTAATTGGCCCGTTAAATGAAATCATCTGGAGCCCGAGGAGGAAACAATGTTGCTGCGTGGTTTCACCGAGTGTGACACACATGGGCTGGAAGTAGGACAACTGCAGAGCCCAGTGGGAGGAGGGCAAACAGAGGGCTGACATTTATTATACATGGAGCTATTTGAGAATGCAATGTTCAGACTTTTCTACACTGATTCACAAGATAGAATCAGAACGCTTATTTTAGAGAAACCCTCGTGAGTTCCCCTGAAAATAGATCCAATATCTTGTTCCTAGGAAAGACTAGATGTCCTTAGCTGTAAGTAACCTACTACACCATCACCAGTGGCAGATCCACAATTTTTTTAAAGGATGGGTAGGGCCTTACAGGAGCAATTACTAATGCAAGGGTGGAGCTTACCCTTTTTTTTGCCACTTAATACACATAATTTAACCATAAATATATCTAAAAGGTCGCCCGAATTTCTCCTCTGGGGATCAATAAAGTATTATCCTATCCTATCCTATCCTATATTTCGTTTGCTGTATTTTTCATGAATTAAAAAAGTAAAACAACTGATCGGACACAATTTAGTTGAATTCTTTGACAAATTTAAGTACTAACAAATTGAAAAGTACTATGTTGGAATGCAAAGACAAATACTTGCAGTATCTTGTAACACAGCCTTAATAGTTGATTTGAACAAAAGCCCCATCGCTGATGAGACACATGGCGTATTATGGTTTAGGATTTTTGGCTGGCCATTAAGATTACAATTCAATAATCACCTTAGTCCTAGTCCAAGGCTTCAAATTCTGACACAGTAGTTTCTGCTGCCACATCAGTTTGGAACTTGCAAAGCTTTGTGGATGTTTACAGCAAAGCTGTAGATAACAATGTATTTTTGACCTTCAAAATAAAGCGCCTAAGGCAGAGAGAGGACATATTTAAAACAAATAATCCTTTTTACGTCTCCAAAGCCGATACCCTACTCTGTTTTATTTACACGTTTCAAACTGAAGAGTAAAGGAACGCCTGTTGTGGAAACGATTTCCTGACTAACAACCATAAAACTGACCCCCTGGAAGCACAGCCAGGGTGTGCAGTGATAACCTGCTGACTTTATGCTCAGACAGATTTGATCCCACATTACTTCTTCAATTAACCATGAGGGAAAATCCTGGATTATCCATGGTGATGATAGGGTCTGATAACTTAAGATTCATCATTGAACAGTAGTTTACCTAGGATTTGGGGTGGAAAATAAAGAATTCAACATTTATAACACCTTTTTTCTTTATCCAATTCTTCACTGCTAAAGCCCTTGACAGAATTTACTTCAAGATGTATTAGTTTTGTCCTTTCTTTGTTATAGAGGTGATCAGATCAGAAGCGGTATCAGATTTGTTGAAGCAGTCATTGACTGTTCCTCCTGGCACAGGATCAGGTGTACAGATGGTAACCTTCAAGCTCCTCACTGAGTGTGCTGCATATTTAATGTAATCACGTTCCTCTTCTCTCCATCCTCCACCTCCTCCTCCTCCTCCTCCTCCTCCTCCTCCTCCTCCTCGCTGTGCCCTCTGTTCCTTCCTCCATCTTCTCCTCCCTGCCTGTCCTACAGACAAGCTGTGCTTCAACTCTTTCTTCAACAATGAGGACATGCAGGAGATCACAAAGCACTTTGTGGTTTGCCATGTGGACGCTCCTGGGCAGCAAATCGGAGCCTCACAGATGCCACAGGGGTAATAATCTTAAAACACATACACCAGAACAAAAACAGTACAACTTGAAAATCTACAAATCTAAAACCTGACGGGAAAAAGCAATTCCTTATTTATTGAAAAACCTTTTTATTTTTTTTATTTTACCAAATATTATCTTTAATATTATTATTATTTTAAAGTAAAATCATAAAAGACACATTAATAATTGCTTAAGCCATGTATTAGAAATAATAAATTGGTAGGATTAGACTTTTTTTTTTTTTCATTTTGAGGAATGAAACTTTGAGGAATTGGACATTATAAAAAATGTCTGCCTCTTTCTTCACATTTTAGACTCTAATGTAACATTTTGGATTCATTTTTCCAAATTTAAAAAAAAGAGCCTCGTCCTTTTTTATTTCCTATTCTGAACTATGTTGACTTTATTCTCACTGTTTTTTTGTTTTTATTGGAGACATTCTAACTTCATTTGATTAAAACATATTTGATTAATCTGTTATGTTACCTGTGTCCTTTCTTACCACAGGTACCAGTACCCCACTATGGACCAGCTGGCCGGGATGCTGCCCACTGTGGTGCAGCACTTTGGGTTGGTGGTTTTTGCTTTTCAGTTCCACTTGTTGTCCACATTTATTCACAGAGCAGACTCAGCCATTGTTTGATAAGAGCCGTCTGCAGGGACATGATGTCCTCTTTCCACTTCACAAGCTGGCAAGCGCTACATGTCTCTTTCTCTTTATCCGCCCCCGTGTGTTACATAAAAACATCCACATTCACTCACACAAATGCTTACAATATATGGGATTTATTTGGGTATACTATGTACGTTTCCAAGTCCATGAAGCTGCTCATATTTCTGAGCAGTGTCTGTAAATTATAAAGGAGAAAATATCTTTTGATTTCTTTATTTGTACAGTAAAAAATATACATACAATTACACAAATACAAAATAGACAATATCCAGTGCAGGGAGCTTATTTGAAGCCTCTCCCACATAATGTTCAAACATCACCAAAATGACCGGATAATAAAAAACAGGATGTGATCTGAGCTTGAGAAGCAGCAGCCGTTACTGAGCTGTACAACACTCAGCTCTGCAGAAACATGGATTTTAAACTGTGCTTCCAATAAAGCCAGTGATGTTATTTTTCAGTCTCTGTTGGGCATACCCACTTCTAAATCTCCTCTGAGTCACACCACTGATTGATTGACAATATTCAGTAGTATGCTGCATTTTTTTCTCCTGGGATGATGAAGGAATGACCCTCACTACTCTGTCTCTAATTGGCTAGTACACACAAACTAAACATGTAGGAGTAGTCTTACATTTCACTGTTTATAACAGAGGCTGTTTCTCCTCTGCTGGATGGAAAATGAAGAGTATACCTACTTATTTAGGCAACACTTCACCACTGAATAAATTGTACATGCAAGAAGTTTTTCCATGATACTCTGTTATAATTCTTGAATTCATGTCTGATATCCTCATATAATAATGTTACCACATTATATCCATATAGCATTTTATTTATCTTTTAACATCTCCTCTAACTGCCCAATATCCTTTGTGTAGATTCAAGAGCATTGTGGGGATCGGAGTCGGAGCAGGAGCTTACATTCTGGCCAAGTTTGCAGTAAGTCATGTTGTGATAAATCTATCATGTACTGTTTCATGCACACATTACCTGTACACAGTGAGCCTAGTGCTGGTTCAAACATTCAGATGTGATATGTTGCTATGGTTTCCGCTTGCAGCTGATCTTCCCCGATATGGTGGAGGGTCTGGTGCTGCTCAACATCGACCCCAATGGCAAAGGCTGGATCGACTGGGCTGCCGCCAAGGTAAGGCTGTCTATTACTGTCAACTACTGCTTAGCTAAGGTTTATATACTGTATACTGTTAAATCCTAACATTAACAGTCTCAATGTGTTTGCCCCAGCTGTCAGGTCTGACCAGTGCTCTGCCTGATACTGTGCTGCCACACCTTTTCAGCCAGGTATATGGACTGTTTTAAATTCACTTCAATTACTTGTACTTCTTTCAAAAGTCACAACAAGGCAAGAAAAAAATGGTCTACGATCTTTACAGCGTCTGAGTGTAAATCTCTTTAGTATGCAAACAGAAAGAAAACATATTTTAATTAATATTTGTTTTTATTTTTATTTTTATTTTATTTGTAAGTTGAATGGAAAAGACCAATTAGATCACCAATTTATTAGAAAAAATCAGAACCTTTCAATCCATCTGTACATTTCTCAAGTGCTTGCTCAAACAATTTCCCCACCATAGTTTAACAATATGCTCACGTAATTTACATAATCACAGCCCTTGTGGATTATCCTATGTTGGTAAAACATCACGTTCACTAAAACAAAGAACTAGTGAGCATAAGGGCTTCATAAGGAGAAAGAAGAATTAATTCCGAAGGTAGTTGAAAGTAGTTGTCCTTTCAACCAAACAATACATCCATGCATCCATTATCTATACCGCTATACCGCAGAGAAGTGGGGAACACCCTGGACTGGTCATCAGTCAATCACTGACACATAGAGACAGACAACCAGTCACACTCACATTCACACCTACGGCAATATAGAGTAACCAATTAATCTAACGAGCATACCTTTGGACTGTAGGAGGAAGCCGGAGTATCCGGGAGAACCCAAGCATGGGAGAAAAGGCTCTTGTCCAAAAGGATTCGAACCAGAAACCTCCTCGCTGTGAGGCATCACCATGCAGCCCCAAAGCAAAACAAATAAATACAAACTTGAATCTTGAATGGAAAGTAGCAGAAAGAAGAAGAATCTTATATAATATGCCCTCTTTCATAAGACATTAATAAGCAAAATATATAATAAAAAACTATTCAAATAAATTAGCTGCAGGCCAACACAGCCACTCACAGCCCCCTAGTAGATCCTCATTAACTATTCATGTTATACCATTCAAAGCAGATGACAAAATAATGTACGTGTCTCAACAACACAAGACAGACCAAAAACATAATCAACACATGACATCATATTTCCTCATCTTACTGGCTTTAATTATTCCATAACCTTTCATATTAAATGTAAAAAGTCTTTATTATCTTTAAAAATCTATATTCTTGTTTCTTTATAAATGCTCTGACCAGTTTGTGTTTGCTTCTTGCAGGAGGAGCTGATGAACAACACAGAGCTGGTGCAGAGCTACAGGCAGCAGATCAATAACACCGTCAACCAGTTCAACCTGCAGCTTTTCTGGAACATGTACAACGGGTGAAGAGAAAACCATTTCCCTACGCTTACTCTGCCTCACACACAGACTCACAACATAAACAAAGATTACATTTATCTCATCTTTTATAATCTCTCGTCTCGTCTCTTTCAGTCGGAGGGATCTGGAGATGAATCGCAGTGGGACTGTCCTCAACGCAAAGACTCTGAAGTAAGTCTGCACAAACAATTTCCTGATAAACACAACTCAGAAAGATTAAAGAAACAGACAAGTCTACGTCTTTTAACAAAAACAAGCCATAGCAAAATTGTGCAGTGTTGTTTTCATTTTTATGAAATACACAATCTAAACAGAAAACTTCATCTTACTTTCCTGAAGCTAACTTGTAAGGATGAGTAGGAGTGCCCTTGTAAAAAAAAAGTGTTACCTAATGTTTACAATTTTTATATATTATGTCATTTATGCAGTGTAAATACCAAATGTGAGTTTATCTTGTCAATTGAGGAAACTGCTTTACATCAGTGTATATTCTACACAATTACTGTAATTAGAAATAACATTTTGTTTCAAGAAAAGCACCCAAATATGTCTGTTTCCCCGTTTTTGAGGGATTTCATAGACCAAGACATGTTTAGAACAAAAATAATCCTTATTAGAACTTTGTAAATACAGGAAAAAATAAATAGTAAGTTAAAATAATACAGTATTCTACTTGTTCCTGCAGGTGTCCTGTGATGCTGGTTGTAGGAGACAATGCTCCTGCTGAGGAGGAGTGGTGAGTACATCATCTCTCTAACTAAAACCGGCTTATCCACCAACTTTCTCTTTTTATCTCATTGTGCTGAATCTGTTCCATCAGCTGTTCTCCCCTCGCCCTCACCTTGAACTTTCTAATAACTCTCTAATCGTCCCTCAAAGTAGTCCTGCCTCGAAGAAAAAGTCTATCTAAAGCTCTGAACACTGAACCCCCCCTCTTGCCCCTGTTCTTGTCCTGTTCACTAATTTATACTTGGCATGAAAACCCAGTTGGAGTTTGTTCTCGTTCAGTAAAACCGAAACAGGTCAGCCAGCAGAGACTCAGTTCACTCTGTGTACAACCCTGCTGCACCCCGGGGACTCAGTGTGTGTCTGTTCTGTCTCCGGCCGTCCATCTGTGTCTGTGTGCAACACTTGACTCTGATACTATAGGTGTGTGTGTGTGTGTCTGTGTGTGTGTGTCTGTGTGTGTGCCTGTGTGTGTGTGTGTGTGTGTGTGTCTGTGTGTCTGTGTGTTCTCTCTCGGGGCCAGATGGCCTCGCTCTGTCTCTGGGGTTTCCTAGTTTGAAGTGGCCTAGATATTTATGCTTCTGCACCAGTTAATCTGCTCATGTTAAAAATTGAAATCAAATCAGTCCTCTGTTGGATGGAGGGATGTGGAGGAGGTTCACGAGAGAGGGCCGGCCGGGAGGAGGTTATAAAACATCTTGGAAAGACAGAAAGATGAAGGGATGGAATGTGACAGAGGGATGGGGGGAAGTAATGTGAGGAAGCAAGAGACATAAACAAAGGTTGTTTTTATTCAATATGATGGATGGAGGTCACATTAATATTTTATATCCGCTCATATTACGGCTGCTGTGTTTGCTCATGAAAGATTCTTTTACATGGAGTTAGACGCTCACAGAAGAAAGGGAATTTGTGCAAAGATGCATATGTTAGACTTATATGTGCACATTTGGAAACGTAATTATAAATATTATGTCATAATATTTAAATCTAGATGTTGCACAGCACTTAAGATATTAAGAAAATATTTGATAAGAAGAGAATTCTTAAATGCACATCTACGTGGAGTCATGCTTTACATGTACGGGCAGTAAAATATGTAATCTTGAAGTCTGCTGTAGGATTAAACATTCAAAGCAGCAGCGAGAAAAAAACATGTCTGTGTCGTCTCTGAGTCCACAAATGTGAGCTGTCATGTATGTTTGCATCTGTCTGTCTGTTTGCTCTCTGTGTGTGTGTGTGTGTGTGTGTGTGTGTGTGTGTGTGTGTGTGTGTGTGTGTGTGTGTGTGTGTGTGTGTGTGTGTGTGTGTGTGTGTGTGTGTGTGCGTGTGTGTGTGCATGTGTCTGTCTGCCTAGTGAGTGTATGTTTTCATCAGTCTGTCTGCTGTGTGTGTGTGTGTATATGTTTGTCTCTGTCTGTGTGTGCACACTGCAGCTCTCAGCCTGCTGGAGTGACTCATCTCTGCAGCACACTGCAGTATCTGGGTCACTCACATACACACACAGGATAATATGGATTCCATATAATAATACAATATAATCTAAAGATCCAGCACATAACACACAGTTCCTTATTCTACTGCTAAATATGAAGTACAACACTCTTACACACTTTATTGCTGCAGTATTCACTTCAACCTGCTGTTGTTTTTTTTCTCTAGGTGGAGTGCAACTCCAAACTGGACCCAACCAACACCACCTTCCTAAAGGTAACTGTTTGTCCCCATCTGACCTACGCCTACTTCATCAGTGGACAGTCAAATTATTCAAATTTGTCATTCAAATACAAATTATACAAATTTAAATAGTATCCATTTTGTACATGCACAGAATAATCCTAATCCCCCCCAAAAGGTTTACCAGAGGATTGCCCTCTTTCAACATTTTAAATAGTTCACAGCAGAATGTATACTGGACAGCTTAGTGCAGTTTTGGTAAAAACAACACTCAATAATGAACTTTTTAAATTTTAAATCTTCAAAGGCCTAAAGGCACATCCTTAGAAGTGTACCAATTAGCTTTTATTGAAAGAAACGCAATCAACCCACCAAAAGTTTAAAGATGGATGTTTGGTCAGTAACCCTAGACTTTGGCTTGAGGTAAGTAAGATCCTCATCGTGTCATAAGAGTTTCTAAATACGGCCGACACGTCAAATAAACAACATTATGTTTGACTTCTTAGAATTAATCTTGTTGAGAAACGTTTCACTATTGTTGTGTTTTGGATGTGCAGCAATAACTAACATGAGGTCGACAGCGTGCCTTAACCTAAAGGCACCAAAAACAGCATGGCCGTAAGAAAAATATTACTTGTTAAATTGAAATAAATTATGTATGTACATATGTTTGGTTACCAACGTAAAAGACATAATAATAACGTCTATTGGCTACATATGGACATCATACACTGATCTCTGGTTGGAAATTCCCAATTAATCCCCCTTACCACCATCCTTGACTTAAGGGGCATCTCAAAACACCAAACACAGCATCCATGACTAGACCAGGACTCACAGCGGTATATTTAAAAGTGTTGTGTTGTTCAAGTGAAGACGACCTAAACTATAATCTTTCAATTAAGTTATTGCATGTGGTGTTTAAAATTTAAAAACAAAATAAAAAGATATAATATGATGATCAGAAAAACAACTTGTCAGCAAAATAAGGCAAGAAAAGAAAGTGGGAGATTGGGTGATATATATATTTATCATTTAAGTGTATTGTGCTCTGTCCTCTCATGACAGATGGCTGACTCTGGTGGACTTCCTCAGCTCACACAGGTAACACAAAGGCTGCCAAAAACATCATAATCTATATATCAAAATCAAGACAGACCTCAAATCTCCAGTTTGTGAGTTTGTTTCTTCAAAATTCAGTAAACTGAACTCTCACAATTTGTTTTCCAGCCTGGCAAGCTGACTGAAGCCTTCAAGTACTTCCTGCAGGGAATGGGCTACAGTGAGTATCTTTATAAACAGACAGTAGTTAATGAGAGTATATTTTTAATATGTATGTGTATGTGTTTGCCCTTGTTGTACTTTCTGATACATAGTCTGTCTCTACATACAATTGCTGTTGTAATATCTGTATTGTGATGTCATGTAAATCATTCAGAGGGACGTACGTTGTGTTAATATTGCCCTCTGTCTCCCTTGCCCCGTTCTCTCAGTCGCTTATGTGAAGGATCGGAGGTTGAGTGGAGGGCCAGGTACTTCCTCCTCCTCCTCCTCCTCCTCGTTCACCTCTGACCTCCTGTTGCTGCCCTGTTCAATGACATTGCATTTTTTAAATTTATTTTTTAAGTCTTTGTTTATTAATACAATGTTCTGGGCTGTTATGAAATTTTTACTTTCGCTATCATTCAGGTGTTTTTTTTAATTCTCAGCACTTTGAAACCCCATCTTTTTTTTCTTTTTTTTCTAAATAATTTTTCCTCCAAACGGAAAAATATATTACCGTTACTTCCCCTCTCCTCATTCCTTTGCCATTGCATCTCCAATACTGCTCTTTGCATGGCCTTGAGCTAGCTTTGAGCAACACCTTTTGTATTGAGTTGATAATAGATGAGCATGTCTTCAAATGGAGAATAAATGTTTAAGGTTTTTAAATGAGAATGACCAACAAACTGAAAAACGTCATTCTTGTCATCAGTTGAGAACTTTAAAAAACGAGAAATACAAAAACAAGAACTGTTCTGACAGAAAATAAGTACAAAACTAAAATAGTCCTCAGGGTTTTTCAGATTCTGTGCTCAAATATGAAGCCTTAACACACACATATGTATATGCACACAGTATGAAGCTTTACATTATGTACAAGTGACAGTCAGGATAATACCCCTGGGCTACGTGTTTGAAATTTATGTTGCACACAAACAAAAACTTGTCAACTCCAATGACATTTAAAAAAAAGAATCACAAAGCAATGACTTTGACTGATAAAACACTTTAAAGCTGGCACAAGTAGCTGCAAGTAGCCAGTGATCACTCATACATAAACATTTAGAAACAAAATCTGTCTTGATATAAAAATGTACAGTTTACTTTACTTTACTTACTAGTAATGTCAGTGTTGAAAGACTAAGGGTTTATACATAACCCACAATTCAGTAGTCACATTACTATAAAACAACAACTACTCATGCATTTTTCATGTTTAAATTCACAGTGTTTTGAAAGAGATGCTATTCCTTATTAATAACAAAGTATTATTATTATGTCTTTATTTAAACTTGAATATCATTGAGAGCATAGCCCTCATTTACAATGACGTCGAGCAGGATAAACAATGAAAAATAACAAACATACATATATATGTACACAAAGGATACCTTAACAAAAAGGCCTTCTTTGTAAAGATCCTTTCATTTTAGTCTATTATAGGAAAAATCCACTTTCAAAGTGTTTTTGAACATATGTTTGGTTAACCTGAGTTTCTACCGACCCACAAAATGTGAAATAAACCCATCCAGTCCTTTGTTTGTGGTCTGCAGAAGTCTTACAACACAGATAAAATGCTCTGATTAAAATTTGCTCTCCTTGCGATGTCACACTGGGATTCTGGTAAAAAAAAAAACCTCCCCTCCCCTGATATCTCCACCCATGGACTCCACCCCCAGCCTAGAGCAAAACTTTTGCGCAGGTCAGCCATTTTTTTTCTCATTAGTGAAGGAGTGATGTCCAACAGGAAAACTCAGGGGGAGGCTCATTGCATTTAAAGAGACACACACACCAAAACTGAGAGTTCTGAGAGAGCTGGTTTATACAGGGTCACACACCTCCTCCGATGCTTGATTCACAGCACAGATGTTTCATTTAGACCACAGGGGACTGTTTGAAAATGTGGAAAAGGGGGGTAATATGTCCTCTTTAATGACACTCTGAGCCTGTCAGTGTCAAAACAAGGACTTGAAAATCCAACCACAGGTATAAGTTTGCATCCATCACAGACTGTTCTTAAGCTGGTGGCAAAATGATCGACTCGAGCAGTTCTAAAGGTTTTTGTTACTATGAGTCATTTATCAATCAATCAATCAATCAATCAATCAATCAATCAATCAATCAATCAACCAATCTTTAATTCGTAACAAATGTTATCTCAAGACACTTAACAAAAAGAGCGGGTAAAATACATTAGTCAAAAGACCCCAAAAATTGCAATAATCCTGGTTTAAAATGATGGAATTCATGGAAATCAGATTAATTCATGGAGTTTTAATGAATCACTCCTGACATAGAAAAAGGCAGTTGACAATCTTATCTCAAGGTTCACTTATTGCATAATTCATGATGACTAAATATGATTTTATTGTAGGGGAGTTCTGCTCATATAGGACTATGAGGCGTAAAGCCACATACTGAGCCCTGAGGTTCTCCTGTGCATGATGCTGACAATGTGTTGCAGACACATTCACAGCTTTTAAGAGCATCCTGCATCTCTCACAGCTACAGTGAGCCACACAGCTACGAAAAAAAGAAAAATCTTTATCCTCCACAAAAGCATGTACTACCCACATTTCCCCAACATTATCCAATCACGCAGATTTTTCCCCACAGTATAGTGTAATGTTTAATTCTTGTCTCGCACCCTTTCCCCTCCTCTCCCTCCTTAGTGCCCTCTGCCAGTATGACTCGCCTAGCTCGCTCAAGGACGGCCTCCCTGAACAGCGCCAGCTCCATGGATGGCTCTCGCTCTCGGGCCTGCACCCATTCTGACAGCAGCGAGGGAGTTGGGACGGTCACCCATACCATGGAGGTTTCCTGCTGAGGAGTTAGACTGCCATAACGAGAGGGAGGGAGGGGGTAGAGAGATGGAGAGAGGGCTGGGGAGAGATGTCGGTAAAAGGGGAGGTGGGCTGGGTGAATGGAGTTAGACATGGTGGAGGGTAAACTAATTCAGTAACATGAGGAAAGCTTGTAAGAAGGTGGAAACAGCTCTCTCTGTCCTTATCTAGCTCCTCCATTATCCCTTTGACTGCCGTCTCCTTCCCTCTCCACTGTAAAATACCATATGTATTACAACTAACACCCCGACCACCCCTGTCACCCAGCACTTCAAGATTTAGGCATCTGTTTTTGTTCTTAAGTGTCATTCTTGTGTTTGCTAAATGTCTCCTCAATCTTTGCCACCCCTTTTTGACCCCCACTCCTCACTCAAACACACACACACACACACACACACACACACACACAAAAAAGCATCATTGTCTGTCAGAATTCAAACCACAATTTACCATTATAAGCTGCTGTTGTAAGCATTGTAGGAAAACTCTTTCAGAGACGATGAAACTAGAGGACACAGAGAGGAAAACAGAACTTTCTGAGAGTAGAACATAATGAAAAATAGTTGTGTGCTTTGCAAGATGTTTATGATTTTTCTGTTGTATGGATCACATGTGAGTATCTCTCTCTCTGTTGCTTATACAAATGGTTATTTCCTCTCCAAACGTGGCAGGTGAGCATCAGACGGGTTGTGTCCAGTTTTACAGACAGCAGAACACGGCCAGTTGTAGCTGAGTGCACCTGTAGTGCTTAGAGAGAGCTGTTAGCTAGTACACATCGCTCATTTAAAGCTGCACTTGGTACGATTTAGTTGATTAAAACTTGTTAACTACAATTAGAATGTGAAATTAGAATATTATTAGTAAACATAGGTGTGTTCAAGACTAGGGTGGACCTGGATGGACCTACTTTTAAAATAAATTACATTTGCTTCATTTAAATACCAAAAATACACCTTTGTATTTTCCATTTTGGTAATAATATTTTGAGTCTTACTCTTGAGGACAGTCACAGATCTTTATGTTTGTAGTATGTGATACACAATCCGAGGCCGTAGTTTGTAAGATACTGATCGGATATTAAGCCCAGGTCGCCAGTCATAAGCGCACTGAAACCTAGCCACTACACCACCAGGGAGCTTCTTCTTCTGTTTGTTTTCTTCTTCCTTTTACTCTAATAATCTATTTGTGGTATGGCCAAAGTACAACCAAACCACTTGTTTGAATAATCCTCATTTTAAGCAAGACGGCAATCTGTGATTTGTGAGCCACTGGAGTCCATTGGTTGCTTAGCATCAAATGTGATAACACTTACAATGGAATGTAGCCAATGTAGCAGGAAGTACCCATGAAGCACTTGGTCAGCATGCAGAGCAGATGTTCACAGAAAGTTAGCACTCTCCTGTCATCACTTTTTTTTTTTTTACAATAATGGACCTTACTAAATGATTGAATTACCAAAAAGAAAAAAACATGTATGGGCTTAATAGTTTCATAATGCTTGTACTCAATGTAGCATGTAACCTGAGGGTGTTAGGCCTTTAAGAGGAATACTATTTAATCTGTATGAGTTCAAATGACAAAGTGAGGATATTATACTTATCACAGTAACCAGAAAACAGCTTACAATATAATACTGTTATCTAAAAGATGAATCAAAGTAGTCTATGGTACGTGTACAGTAAGTGGTCCATCCAGACTCAAAAGGGTACATGAGGTTATAATTTTAAAAAGTCCATTTAGAGCAACATCAGTGCAATGTTGCTGAGTGCAGCTTTAAGCTGTGTGTGTCATCTCATAATTCTAAGACAATCCACAACATGACTATAGAGTAGAAGAAGTATCTCTTAATATGTACATGCATGTGAATGTGAAAGTAATCTTAGGGCATTGTAGTATCTGGGTAGTCCAGTGTTAGGGCATTCTTCATTAGCACCTTGTTGGTGGTAAGTTAAATAGAGCCATAGATGCAAACTGCCATCACCAGTCTGTAACTGCAGCACGCATGAATGTGGTTCTGGCCATAATCGGTCGACTTTTGTGGTCTCTAACATGACAATCAGACTCTGACCCAAACCAAACCAGACCAGAGGGGCCGAGGCCGGAGCAGGCTGGCCCTGCAAACTCTCTTTGCGAGTCACTGCCTGTGCAGCTCACAGCAGACTTCCCTTACAGTGCAGAGCTCCTCTCTGTTGATGTACCAAAGCTCACCACACACACAGAAGTATCCACAATGACACAATACTGTATATGCCCATGCTTACACACATTTTTACACACCTTCTTGTTTAAGGATACATGTGCTGAGGGAACTAATCCAAAGACAAGACATAAATACACCCAATTCTCAAACAAGACAGAATCCATTGCTATTTAGTTAGATTGTGTTTTGCTGTCCTGTGTATCTATCCTCTTACTGCTGTAGTACATGTATAGAAATACAGTTTTAGACTAGTGTAGCTGTGTGCTTCAGTCTGCTATAAAACTGGACCACCTTGTCCACAGTGATCAGAGTTGGGGGTCTCCTGGTTTTTGGCTAAGTAATGTACAGTGTTCATGTACCACAGTCACCTTTTCCCGTTTGAAGTTTTTTCAAAAAACCCCTTTGGTCCCCTGTCAGGAGGGGCGTAGCTTCCACTCTCTGAGGTGTGCGCTTTTTCTGAGGTGGCCTGTAAGGGGCGGGGCTTTTTTGGAGCCATTTGGGCGCCAAGCTCGGAATGTAGGGCAACCCCCAGCCACCTTTAAAAAAATAAACCCTTACCCCTAAAAACAAGGTGCCCCGGCTCTCACAGGCAAACCCAGTCGCACCCTAAAGGGCTATCAGCTGAAGTCACTTTTTTAAATGTTGGTTGTGTTATTCTTGTTTATGATCACCAGGGGGCCCAGGAGCACAGAAAAAGTCATAAATGACCTTTTTTTATTCTAGAAAGAGGAGGGATTATTGCCAAAAACACTGAGAGAGATTCTGACATGAAAATGAGGAATGAATGAATGTTTATGGGAAAGAATGTGACATAGTTGAAGCTCTAGAGTTTATTGTGGAATTGTTTAAAATATGTATTTTGGAAAAGGAGAAGTGATGAAAAGATTTTAAACTGTCAAATCCAAGACATCAGTCACTTCTTGCAGAACCTCACAGATGTATTTCAGGAACACTGATGTTTGCATGTAGCATATACAATAACCTCTCAGTGTTTTCTTTCTTCATTAGGCTCTTTTTTCACATCTAAACTCTGGTTTCCTCCTGTACAACTTCTCTCCATATTGCCTGGGGGCCCCTGAATGTATTTTGTCCCTATTTGAAGTGCTGTACAGTATTGTCAACCTACGACTCTTAGTATCCCCCTTCCCCCCTCTATGATTTGCACATTTATTCCTCCCCCCACATCTTTGACGTTTAATACTCAACAAGCAAACAAAGCTCCTTCCTCTTTCTCCTAAAGGTCTATCAAAGGTGAAGTTCAGTAGGGATTTGTGAAAGTCCACAGTAAGCTGGCATTCAATCTGTTTGTATTCACCTTAGTCCTCTTTGCACTTGTAGATATTTTTAATTTTAGAGCCGGTTTATCTGAATCTAACCCTCTTAACACTTCACTATTGTGTTCAAAATTTCAACACATTTATATTCCTCTTCCCTTCGACTTTTTGTCTTTTTAGGGGCAACAATAGGGTGTATCTTCATATTGGTATTAATGATATTGATTCCTGTGTACTACTATTCTTCTTACTGCCATTATGATTGATTTTTATTGAGCAATAAGTTCTCTTTTAAATCTTGTTTGGGTTGTTTCATATTGTGGGAGTCTTCCCTTGTTTCACATCAGTAGAAGGACTCTTACCTGCTCAGTTGTCATTCAGATGTGTAATGTAAAATTTAAATATATTATATATATTAATACATATACCAAGTAAGCTGTCTCTGTCCATGTACTGATCAAGTAACAAGTAAGAAATAAAGACTTTGTCTGAATTTGAAGGGTTTGCTGTCGTTTTGTTGAACCACTTTCACCTCATAATTCACGTCCCTGATTTCAGTTTGCACGGCCCTGAAATGATTTCACTGTTCTTGACACAGTTTGCACAGCTCTAATTAAAGTTTGTGCCGGTTCCCACTAAGTTTGCAGTGCTCTCATCTCATTTTGCATACCTTCCACCTTGGTGTGCAGCCCTCCAGACTCAGTTTGAAACGCTTTAACAGTCGTTTCAAGAGTTCTGACATCCATTTGTACATCTCTCATTTAAGTTTTCACATATCTCAATTCTGCTTGCACACCTCTTACTTCAGTTTTCACAGCTTTACAATAGTTTACACAGTTTTCCCCTTTGTTGCTCAAAGCAGCGAACTCCAGTGTTGAAAAATGAAGTCAAATCAGATAAATACCTGTATATAATCTTAAGAATAACAGCAATTAAACTATGTTATGTTTATTTGTTATCAGGCGGTCTTAAAGAGCCTAATCATGTATGGTATCACAGCATGGTTTGGCAACCTGTCTGTGCAGTTAAAAACCAAACTGATCCGATTAATTCAGACTTCATAATAAATGAAAGGAGCTAAACTTCACACATCCCTGCAGACTGTTTTTGAACAGGCTACTCTAAGGCAAGCGTGTAAGATTGTCAGTGACCCATCACATGTTCTACATCCAGAGCGTTCTCTGGTAAGAGTTTCAGAGTTCCCTGTTGTAGACTGAAATTTTTTATTTAAACATTTATTTAAACATTTATTTAACCCTGTGTCTATTAGGCTTTTTTAACATATGTAAATAAGACAGGACAGGCACTGCACTATAATGGGTCTTTGCATTTTTGCACTTGTGTTATAAGAACAGGATGTTATTTAAGTTATTCTTTTTTTGTGGACATTATTTGTTAATGTTCATTGATTTATGTTTAATGTGAATGATGTTGAATTGTGTTTTCTTTATGGCTGCAGTGTTGAAGAGCTCAAGACACATTTCTCTCTTTGTGAGACAATAAAGTTTGTAATTACAAACTGATGACATGAACTGCTAAACATTTGCAAACTTAAAATATTAAGATTTTGTTTCGTGTGTTAACATCGTATTGCACTCATTTCCTTGTCAACTTATGCAGAAAACTGACTCTTTAAAATATCTTCCATGCTGGAGCTACATCCATACACCACCTCCAAAGAGAATAGCTTCATCTGTAAACTCTGACGAGATTTTATATTGTCAGAGGAAGGCCATCATTTCCATCGTTTCTATTTTGGAAT